GCTCTTTCCCACCGCGGAAAGCCGCCGTGTCCTCCCCACAGCAGCTCCTTGCATCGCCCATGGGTGGGCGATTTCAGTTTCCAGGGGTGCAGCAGCCTCAGCGTTCTAAGCTGAGTAATTCCCCTAAACGGAATAATTCCATCAGGACACGCCTGATGGATGCTCAGGGATGCAGCAGCGCTCAGCTCTGGAGCACGGGGGCAGTCCTTTGGCACCGGCGTTCTTGCACTCGCACATCTGCGAGCCCAAAGCAGCCCCGGCCCGAAAGCGAATCCCCGCGGTGTCCCAGAGCGGCGCCTCACAGGCAGCCAACACCACCTTATTAAGTCAAAATCACAGGAAGAGGGAGAACAAATAGAATGTCATTTTGATCAACACATGTAACAATTATGCGCGAGAGGAAAAAAACCAAAATTTAATACAGCCCATTGTTTTTGTCCATAGGTTCAGTTTTGTGGATGCTTTGCACTTCTTTCATTTTTCCCCCTCTTTACCACATCCCCCCCCCCCCCCCTTTTTTTTCCTTTTTTAAAAAACAGATGTTGCCAAATGTTTTTGAATCACACATACTCCAAAATGCCTCAGAATCATTTGTGGAACCACCCCCAGGCTCTAAACCCTTATATCACTGATGCAGCCTCCTTGTTGCTAGCTTGCCAAACAATAGCCATTGTTCCTGAAGGGTCCAGCCAAAAATAATATGATGTGCAACTGCCTTCCCACTGTTGTCTTTGCAAAACTACTTAAAAGTTCCAGAGATGCCTTTACGGATGATGTACAGTACAAATAAACCCAAAAGGAGCAGAACAATTGGAAAAGCTTGTAGGAATATTGGAAGTGGGTGGAGTAGAAATAAAAAAATTGTGGGGGGTGAAAGAGAGGAAAGCATTATGAGAAAGAGTTTACATTAAATGATAGTGAAGTGTTTAGTTATGCAGCTGGTTTTGTGTTGTTGCAGAAGTGAAACCACAAATATTTTAGTATTCATATCACTACAACTTGCATATAATTCGCGAGTTTGGTAGCTGTGCAATTGCACCTTAAATGATTCTTTTGTGCAGCTCTGATTTTGGAAAGAATCACTTAGAATGAAGATTTGGGAGGGAATAGAAAATGGCTACCATTCCTGCTTGGAGAAATACAATATCTGAAGAAGAAATATCTGGAAATCATAGGGGTCACAGACCCACAGCTATATATATATACAGCCTGTAGCTTATGGACAGTCTGGTCTGTATTGAATTCAAAATGTAAGCATTGAGGCAGGGAAAAAAAAAAAAAAAAGAGGTATTTTGAACTGCCATCATAAAAATTGAATTTATTTCTTATGTGTAGTTCATTACATACCAGTGAAGGATCAGCTTGACCTTTCTGCTATTAGTAGTCCAGGCCATGAAAGAAGCTCCTTCATGAACCAATGGAAGTTCATACTGTTGTTCTCTGTGTAGTACATCTCCGGATAGAAAGATCACGCATCTTCCGTCAGCAATACATTTATTGATAAAGAAAGCCCTGCAAGGCAGGTCAAATCCACAGGCACACTGTGTGTGGAATGAGAATCGACTCTCAAGTGTTCCTTCGCATTTCTACTTCTAATCATCGATTTATTTAGTCATCCTAAGGCTCAGTCCTAGACTCTGATACAAATTCAGAGCTGAACTTTGACCGCAGTCCTGAACAGAGGTATAGGAAAAAACTGAGCAAGGGAAAAAAAGTCACCGCAACTACTTCAGAGGAAAGTTAATTGAAAAAGAAAACCCACAACATTCTGGCAAATATCAAAGCTGATATTTCTACATAATGTAACTCAATTATGAGGTATTTACTAATCACATCATATTTATTGTTAACAAATTGTTGCAAGTGCGTGCTACAATGGGCCTCTGTGTAGCCATTACTGGCTGCTTGACAAATGATCTGTGGTGTTAGAAGGTCACAGAAAGAAGTTGAGAAGCACTAGGAGGGGGAAAAAGGGAAGGAAAAAACCCCAAATCCCAATTATATAGCAAGACAAAACTGTGGGAGAATCTCCGACATGCTCTTTAAGTATAGCCATCCCTTATAAGGAAGAAAATCATTACCAACATCAAGCACAGCCTGTGGGCAAAGCCTGTGCCACTCAGATGTACCCCCAGCGTGTGTCCCTGGTGACGTGTCCGTGTACTCATCCTGCAAGTATGTCCCACTCAATGTACAGCTGCAGCGTCTTCCTCCCTGGGGGACACGGCATCTATATGTCCAGAGAAACAACACGTGGGCCCAGGTCTGACCCCCCGACCTCCACATGCTGCAAGCTGCTTCCAGAGCTGAGGGAAAGGAAATGACCCAGAGGAAACAATGCAGGACATCATTCCGTGAGTGCACTCTTGTGGTCAGCTGGGAAAACAAAAAACCAAACCAAGAAATGAAACAGTCATGACAGAAATTAGGTTGATCTGGTCATTACATTGACAGAAAAAATGCCTTTCCTTTTAGTGGTTGTGCTGCCTTTTAGGAGTTTCTGTTTTGTTTTGCAGAATTGCTGGGGTTTGGAGTTTCCCGATTATCAGAGCCCTCCCAAAGCACTCCTACACTCTCTGTCTGTGCATGTGAGTGCTGCCTCCTATTCCCCAATGAGAAAGGCATTTTTAACAAATTGATAAGACAGAATTTTCCCATACAGTCACTATCAGGCAAGCAGAGCACTGCATGGCATGTTAGAAATGAAAAAATGTGCTCTAACTTGGACTAGCCCTCCAGTTCCTCCCCCTTCCCCATCCCAGGGTCAGAGCCAGATAGAGAAGCATCTCCCAGTCTACAGCACTCACATTCCTGAAGCAAATGCCAGATGCAGTCCTGTGTCCTGGGTTTGATGCATTTGCCCACCTATGTTAACTGTTGGGGAATTTCAAGGAAGCAGGAAAAACAGCAGCTGAAGGAATGAAAAACCAGCCACTGTATCCAACATTGGCAGCAAGCACACAAAATCTATGTGCTGTGTCTTCCTTGTGTGTTGCCCCATAGGCTTTGAGGAGCAATCAGTAAAGCCTGATTTCCCTCATACAGATGGAAAATATCTTAGACCTGAGCTTGTAATGAAAACCATGCTTAGACAGGGGTTTCTATAGGAGGGTTTTTCTATGCCTCATTCTAGGGAATGAGGCACGGGGCAAAGTAGAATTCCCTTTTTGCTAGCGTACCATCTATAAAACAGCTAAAGTGTCCAAAACATTGAAGAGGAGATTTAGCTTTGGGCAAGAAGTATTGTCACAAAATAATTTAATAATTAATGGAGAGGTTCTTTCATTTAACTCCAGTTGCAGTGAGCTTTCAGTTCTCCTTGGTGTTGGGAGCAGCCAGGGCTTTCCAAGGGTGGGCAGCACGAGGCAGCAGGCCATATCTGTCAACAAGGCACTGTGTGGGCCAGTTTAAAAACCTCTCTTCCTGCCATTGTTATCCTTAAAGCCCTGGAATTTCATCCAAATGGATTTGACCCCTTGCAAAACAGCCTGTGCATACTTCCCTGATTAGGGTATTCCTGTTAGATGAAAAGGAGGGGGTGGAAGTGGAAGAAGAGGGGCTTTCTTCACCTCTGCCCAAGCAACACAAGTGTCCTGCTGCATGCTGGACTCCAGGATGGGCACATGGCTTTGAGGAAAACCAGCTTGTCCATTGTCCAGTGGGGGAGCAGGTCTGTGCACCTCACGTGTGCCCCACGAGCAGCAACTGCTAAAGGGGGGAGAAAATAACTCAGAGGAGTTGAGTTCTTCACCCTGCTTGCATTTGCTTGTGGAAGAAAGTTGTTAGTCATTTTGACCCAATCTTTAGGAAAGGTCTTTTATTATGGCAAATTCAGGTCTGAAATGCATTGTCCTTTCCCATGGTGCAGCTCTCAGTCTGCCCTAATGCTTTGCCATGCTTGCAGGTAGTTCTCAAACCGCTCCATCTATTTCCCCCCTCATTTTTGTGCCAGTCTTTGCCCTGCTAAATTCCCTGTACCTGACTAGATGATCTCAAAATTTCATATAACTCAGAAAAATTATTGATTGGTATTGCCATCTACTTCTAGCTCTCCCACCTTGTTTTTCTCCATTCTATTTCCCCAACCTTCCTACAAAAGGAACTTCACAGTTTCTTCCTTGACAGGGCTGCTGATGTCCAGGACAGGCCACTGCTACCGCTTCAGCTCTATCACTCAGCATATCCCTCTGCCCATACATGAAGATGTTCAATAATCAAACTGGATTTTTTGGAAATAGAAGAGCACTTAAAGCAAAAACTACCTTCAGCATACCTGAAACTAAAAGGTTTGGACAGAACATTCCAGACTTAATCAGAAGAGGATCTGGGTCTTCTCACTTCTGGCACAAGACTTCATTCCCTTTGTCTTCACTAGGCTTTGGATCAATGCATGCAAAAAATATTTCCACTGGGCTTTAACTTTGGCCATTCACCGAGCTGTGCACTCCTGTACAGCCCTGTGCTGTTATTGTGGTTCTAATTAGCAAAGGTTACACAGTCATATCTATTGTTTCAGCAGTTTGGGCCACCAAGTTCACATGATCATACTAGCTGAAAATAGAGGTTATCAAGCAATCAAGCTAAGCACATTACTTGCAATTAGAGCTCCTTATTTGTTTTATTCTCATGCACTCACCTTCTTGTCCTGCCTTCCCTACTGCCAGC